GCTCTCCAATAAATAAATAAAATCTTTAAAAAAAAAAAAAATAAAATAAAATAAAATTGTAAGTACTAAATGACACAGATATTCAATTTCTAGAAATTTATCCTATGAACATAATCAAGAACATATTATTCTCAATTTCCTAATATTGCTTCCCTTTCTTTCATATCATATATCAACATCTGACTTGTACTTATTTATTGTCTTCTCTCCCCTAGAATATAAGTTTATTGCATGCAAGGACCTAAATAGTACTTGCTATATATTAGTCATGTAATAAATACTGGCTGTTGACAGAATGTGTAAAGATTTATCTATAAGAATTTTTAAACTATAGGGTTTTAAGACAAAAAAGTTGGAAAAAATCCAATATCCAACAGCAGGAGATTGATTAAAACAAAAATCACCAATAAAGACAACTAGATAACTGTTAAAAATTAGTCTATTAAAAAACTATAAATGTTTATGATACTAATACATGACCTCATTTTTGTTAAAAAGGGGAAAATATATGCAAAGATATAAGACAGGTAACACAATATTACATCAAGATGTGAATAGCTGATATTTATGAGATGGCAGGTTTACAGGTAACTTTGTTGTTCTTATTTGCGGTTTCCAGTATTTTTCAAATTTTATTTTTCGGTAATGAACACAATTCTCTTCTAATAAGACAAAGAAAATTATTCAAAACAAACTAAAACCAAACTCAAAACTTCGTTTCTAGTTCAAATGAGAAAAAGGCAAGTTTACCTTCAATTTCATCATCGGAAATCAATTCATCATCAGAGCATATGTTGAGAATGTTAACCAGCATCTCTGTGACTATATAAGACAAAATAACCCAAAATGTATACAATTAATAAGGTATTCTCTCTAAAATGATGTGGATGTTTAAGTAAACACATGTTAAATAAACATAAACAAAAATGATTTGTCATTATGCTATTAAGAGTAATTATAAAGAGTAGCATTAAATCTAGACCTTCAGGTTTATATAGAATTTGGGGAAATTACTTGCTTCAGTAAAAGTCTGGTCTTTGAAGATTCTATTGCATAATTACTTGATTTCATGAGACTGTTGTCCAGAGCCTTTTCCTCACTGATATGTACATGAAAAGATTTCCTCCCATTTTACAAAGATGTTAAGCCATCAGGTCTATGCCCAACAAATTTATTTTATATTTGCATAGCTTATTTGTATAGGTGCACAAATAAAATTCTACAGGACACTATTTCCTATTTAAATCTCTTTATCACTGAAGCAATCACTGAAGGAATGGTTTAGTGACTTATGTTATTTTAACATCCTGATCATAGTAGGGTAGCTGCTTTAAATTGATATTTACAACAATAAGCGCACAATTGACTAGAACTATAATTTAAAAACCAATTTAAAAATTAAAAAAATAAAATAAAAAACCAATTAAGTGCCATTTAAAAATCTTTGTAGAGAACACAGAAATTAGAAAATACTTCTGATAGCTTTATTATTTATTATTTTTTATTCTTTTTAATTCTGTAAGTTTAAGAAAAACATTTCTGAACCATCAGGGGACTCATGAAATATAAAAGTGTGCTCCATCACTAATTAAGACAACTGAGCATCCAGTTCTCTTACCTTTTTCCCCAACAAATGGCAAAGACCATGTGAAAACGTCCATAAAGTTTGGAAGCCAGTAGGGGTGTGGAGAACAGTTAAACTGCCTGATATTCATGACATTGTTTTCATATTTTAGCACAGCAGCTAAAAAGGAAAAAGCAGGAAAATATGGCACAGAGGAACATGACATGGCAAATGGTATGCTTTGTATAGCTGTGTACCTACTAAACAGAACTCATGAACTTCCTTTCCACTTTTAAGTTCACGACTTGGTATTTAAGAGCAGATGGAAAATCTTAAAGCATTTTATACAGTTCATTCTTTTAAGAATTATCCCAAGGAACAAAGTTACCTGAAGATCTCATATATTAAAAGTACAAAAGAAACTGAGCTCTGAAACTTCAAAGGGTCACTGCGCTGTAACCATCTGTAGAAATCTCAGGTTCCACATTAGAAAAATTTTGTCATAATTTCCCTTTATAGGCCAAATGGTTACAATTACAGCTCTCCTTTGAAGGCAAACATTTTTCATTAAGCAAACACAGCCTCTTTTGCTAGTCATTATCCAGTGCCAAAGATTTTATAAACTCTCTGGGAGTTTAGAACATAGCAATTATCAATTCATAGTAGGGGATACAGATGGTAAACTTGGAGCAATTTACACAGCTCAGAAGTAGATTAAATCATCTCTGCATATTATACAGAGGATTAAAAATCCATCTCTCCTATACAGAGTTAGTATATTGCTAGCACCATATAAATGTTTAACTTGATCAGTTCATGTATTTATACACATGCTTTGGTACTAAACTAATTTTCTTTATATTTTAAAAGTTTGAAAATCCAATTTCTTAGACTTCACCATGAGCACGAGCTCTGCGATGTTGTTTGCATTATTCTCTTTAGTCTTACTTGATCATAAATAGATTCGGGTATGAAGTACTTCAGAAATGACAGATATAGGTCATTTCCTGGTTCCTGTTTCTTTGCTTATTAAAGGATAGTCTCATGTGCTCAAAATTTAAGTTACTGAGTGTCTAAAATGTATACCATGGATTATAAAGAAAATACATGAAAGTAGGATCTCCTGCTCTTAAAAACCTAACATTGGATATAATATACATGTCCCATTATTTTCATGTGTATATATTTTATTTAGGTTAGATGAATACACAATTATTCAACAATTCCCTCAATCTACACAGGAAAAAGAAGTGAGAGGTGGCTCTTTACAGTGGATGATTAGAAATGAGAGCATAAAAAATTGCTTTTGGGTATGTTCCCAGTGGACACAAAAAATAGGAATAGAAATCTTTAAAAATCATGACTTAAGGATCTTTCACATAATCATTGGAACTAAGAAATACTCTTTGGTACCAATATGAAAGAAAGAAAAGCAACAGAAGAAGAAAGAGAAAAAGGAAAGGGGGAGAGGGTTGTCATTTTCAAGAAAGAGGTACTTGGATGGGGAGTAACTTAGTACCAGCAGACATTATTTCATATACCACTCTGTCTTTTTCCTAAAAAAAAAAAAAACAAAAGAAGTTTGAGAAACAACCAAGGAAAATAAGAATGTTTCAAGATAAAGTTACCAATTATGTCAAAGTCAACAGAAAACTCTGGTAGACTGGACTGTGACTTAAAAGATTATTCACTAAAGGAATAATCAAGATCAAAACCAGGTTAGAATGGGGCAGAAAACGAGCTGGCATTTAGTGAATGAGTGAAGTGACTGCTGTGTTGGGTGGCAGGTTTCAGTTGAGCACACTGACAAATCCACTGTGCAATCAACAGACACTCTTCCTAGTGAGCCTGAACAAGGGAAAAGGGAATGTCTTCATCACAGATATGAGGACTAGGGCCATGAAGTGTCCTTGAAGAAGTTGCCAACACAAGCAGCACATACCATTCATAATGGAAGATATAAGAAGAAAACTAAGTCTCTAACATATTGGGAATATTAGGAAGGAAATAAGAAAGAATGGAGTTAGGGAGAAGCAGAGTGTGGTGGGATAGCTAAGATTCAGAAAAGAATGATGAGATGTAAAAAAACTAGATGCTGGAAGAGAACTGAAGTCAAAGAAGTGTTTTTTAAAATGTATAGTAAGCCACTGAGATGACTGATTCAAATCAGACTGAAGTGAGATGTGCCATTCCTTAGTTTCCCTTTAAACAGGCTACATAGTAAGTATACTGTGGACCTCTTTTAAACTTGATTCCCCAGCTGCATATACAAGGTATGACTATAAAGTAATGAGACTTAAAAACCACCAACTACAAACACACCAGACCTTATATATGAGATGAGTGTGGTCCTCTGATGTAATCACACTAGGCACAATAACAGTAAAATGTTACAGTATCATAGCAATTTAGAGTTTGACAGATGCTTTTAATGTTTATTTTTAGTATTCCAACTTATCTTCAACAACCCTATATGACAGGTATTTTAAAGATACACCGAGGCTCAGAGAAGTTAAGTGTCTTGTTAAATGTGAAATTAAGTGTCATGTTAGCTGTGAATTTAAAAGTGAAGCAGGACTAGACTAGAATTTCTTCTGACTCCTAGCTTAGTGCTCTTTTCAATACACCTTGCTGCCTTACCATATATTTAATCCAAAGATGCTGCCATTACTCAAAACATTTTTGGAACTCCTCTTTTGGAATCGCCTCCAGACCCATTTTATAAGCAACACAAGAAAAACCAGTCTCATTACCCTATAATCATACCTTGTTTCTGACCCCAAATGGTATCATCTAGCTTGATCACTCACCTTATTCACCAGTCTTGACTCCAAATGACTTTTGGCTGTTCCAAAAATCAAATCCACCCTCAAAGGACGAAGATTTCCCATCACTGAGGATAATCAAAAGAATGTGTCGCAGACTCTGAAGGCAATGCCAAAAGAGGAGTTCCGAAAACGCTTTGAACAATGGCAGCATTGTTGGAATAAGCATATAGCTTCCCAAGGTAACTACTGTGAAGGGACAATACTCACTTGGATATATACGTTCTGGCATGTTTGTATAAAAGTTCTATTATTTTATAGTCATACTTTGTAAACAACAAAATAGTTACAGAGGCATGTTACAGAGGATATTACAGAGGAAGTTTGCCCTGATACAAAACTTACAAACTATGAATCATAAAAAATTAAAAAAAAAAAAAGATTTTGGGGTACCTGGCTGGCTCAGTCAGTAGAGTATGCAACTCTTGATCTCAGGGTCATGAGTTCAAGCCCCACATTGGGCGTATGTAAAAATAAAATTTTCAATAGGATAAAGTCTTAGAATGAGAATTTCTGGATTGAAGGCATGTTTATATTTAATCCTCTCTGTTTATATGGGAAACTGAGGTGTAGAAAAATAATATGACTTGCCTAAAGTCACACCATTTAGTTTCTGGGAGGGCTTGAACTACAATGATTTTTCTGACTTTTTGTACAGTATTCATCTACCTGTACCATTCCTCAAGAAAAGCAAAAACAGCTTAATAATTTACAAACATTAAAACTCCAAATAGTGACATTTTATTGAGGTACTGTTACAAATAAATTCACCAAAAGTAATAATTTATGATGACTATTCTAACTTGAACCTGACTTTCTTCTTCTTATATATTTTTTTAAAGATTTATTTATTTATTTTAGAGAGAGAGGGAGAGAGAAGGAGTTGGGGGGAAGGGCAGAGGGAGAGAATCTTCAAACAGTCCCCACTGAGCACAGAGCCTGACTCAGGGCTCAATCCCACGACCCATGAGATCATGACCTGAGCCAAAACCAAGAGCCAGACACTCAGCTGACTGAGCCACCCAGGCACCCCTATTCTTCTTATATTTTGATTCAGGAGTACATATCAGACCTATTATGATCATTATTTATATTTACAAAGAGCCCAATAATCCTTAGGAAATGAAAACCAAGCAGTAGTCTAAATTCTAAGTTTCTTGGCCTTTGTTTCAATTAAGACCTCTTTTCTTATATATAAAATACATACACATATATATGATTAAATTAGAGCTCACATTTACTCACAAATTCAAACTCAAATATCACTGGACTCCTTTACCTTTATTATTATAGACATCTAGGTAATTGGGGGCAGAGAAAATTGTAATGAGTGATGGAAAGCCTGTTGTTTGGCTCTTCCTGTACATTCGATACCTGGAAGAGAGATAACAGTCTGTCTTGATATAAAGGGCAAAAACTCTGTAATGATAATTGGTACAGTTTTAATATAACTTACCCAGCATCCTGGGCTTCATGGGCTCTGATTATTGATAACAAATTATTGTTCTGTAAAAATTCACAAACTGCAGGGTAACTGAAAAAGAAAATTAGGAAACATAAACCCAGAACTAAAACAACTGGTTTTTAGTAGGAGGAAGGGGAAAAGTCAAGATGCTATTAGTTGAATTTGTTTCAAAATTATAGATTTGACATACCACTGAACTTTTATTAATGGCTTAGCAATCATCACTGTTTTTCCACTTCACTAATATACCTCATTCCAGATCAAATATGCAGATAACAGACAACCTTAGGACAGGAAAAGAGCTCCCTACTACCTTTTAAATTTTTTGTCTTAACCCTTAACATAACAACACCAAAACTTTTCTTGTCTTGATATAAAAAAAAGTAGCCCAGTAGTGTGTGTGTGTGTGTGTGTGTGTGTGAGTGTGAGAGAGAGAGAGAGAGAGAGAGAGATTAGGTGCTAAAAACCGAACACACAATTTTCAAATTATCAAATTGTTAGAAAAGTTAAATAACCTACTTACAGCTTCACAAGTAATATCAACGCCAAGTTGATATTATGCAGGAATATTTCAGGAGTAAATGCAAATATTACACCCAACTGTATTCTAATGAAAGGTGTGATATTTGCATCTACTCCTAACATTTTCTCTCAATATTATTATCTTTCTACATTTAGAAAAACCTGATAGGTTGGGGTGCCTGAGTGACTCAGTCAGTTAGGCGTCTGACTTTTTTTTTTTTTTTAAGATTTATTTATTTATTTTGAGAGAGAGAGCACGCAAGAGTGGGGTGGGGGGACAGAGAGGGAGGGAGAGAGAATCCCAAGCAGATTCTGCTGAGCATGGAGCCCTAGGGGGCTGTATCCCATGACCCTGGAATCAAGACCCGAACTAAAACCAAGAGTCAGTGCCCAGGCGCCACAAGTACACTCTTAATTTCTATTCGGGTTTCTTAAGATTCTCTCCCTCTGCCCCTCCCTCCACCTCTCTCCCTCTGGGGTGGAGGGGTGGGGGTGGAGGTTGGGGGGAAGAATTACCTGATAGGAAAAACTGGAGAATGGAGAATACCAAATTATCCTAGAATTATCCAAGTGTTAATTATTTATATTTAAATCTTTCTTATTATGCTCATTAGAAAAATTAACTTTTAAAATAGATTGTACATTCACATGGTATAAAATTGAAAGATACAAATAGTGAGATACAGATACAGTGAAATGCCTCTCTTTTTTTCTTTTAAAGTTTATTTTTTTTAATAATCTCTATACCCAATGTGGGGCTCAAACTCATGACCCCCAGATCAAGAGTCAGTTGCATGCTCTTCTGATTGAGCCAGCCAGGCGCCCCTAAATGCCTCTCTTCTTCCTACATCTATCTTCCAGCTACCTTAGGAGCAACCAATGTTCCTGATTTCTTTGAGTACCCTTTAGAAGATATTCTATAGGCATACCTTGGAGATGTTGTGGGTTCTGTTCCAGACCACCACAACAAAGCAAATATTGAAATAAAGCAGGTCAAATTAATTTTTTGGTTTCCCAGTACATATAAAAGTTAAACTTACACTATACCGTAGTCTATTAAGTGTGCAATAGCATTATGTCTAAAAAATAATGTATATACCTTAACTTAAAAATAATATCTTATTGATGAAAATGCTAACCATCATCTGAGCTTTCAGTGGTCATAATCACAGATCACAAATCACCATAATAAATATAATGATTTAAATAAATAAATCTTAAAAAATTTGAAATATTGGGAGAATTACCAAAATGTGACAGAGACAGGAAGTGAGCAAATACTGTTGGAAAAATAATACCCAAGAGACTTGCTCAACACAGGATTGCCGCAAACCTTCAATTTGTAAAAAACTCAGTATCTATGAAGTGCAATACAGCGAAGTGCAATAAAATAAGGTATGCCTGTATTTTATATCCATACATAAAGGGTTTGTTTTCTTTTCTATTTTTTTATTAAAAAAAAAATAGCCTCATTGAATAGTCTGGCACATTCCATTGTCTGAATGTACCACAAAGTATTTAACTAACTATTCTTCTATTGAACATTTAGGTTGTTTTAAATCTTTTATCATAGGGGCACCTCGGTGGCTCAGTTGGTTAAATAGCTCACTCTAAATCTTAGGATCTCAGGGTTGTGAGTTCAAGCCCCACATTGAGCTCCTTGCTGGGTGTGGAGCCTACTTAAAAAAAAATAAATTTATCACAAATAATACACCAGTGAATAACCTTATACCGTTGACCCTTGAACAATGTGGGGAGTGTTGACTCCCCTCGCAGTCAAAAATCTGTGTATAACTTTTTTCTTGTGTGTATAACTATATATTTTTTAAAGATTTTATTTATTTGACAGAGAAAGACACAGTAAGAGAGGGAACACAAGCAGGGGGAGTGGGAGAGGGAGAAGCAGGCTTCCCGCGGAGCAGGGAGCCCGACTCAGGGCCCGATCCCAGGACCCTGGGACCACGACCCGAGCCAAAGGCAGATGCCCAACGACTGAGCCACCCAGGCGCCCGATGTGTATAACTTTTTTTAAGTAGGCTCATGCCCAACATGGGGCCTAAACTCACGACCCTGAGATCAAGAGTCACATGTTCTACCGACTGCGCCAGCGAGGCACCCTCATGTATGTAACTTTTGACTCCCCCAAAAGCTGGCCTGTTGACTAGAAGCCTTACCCATAACAGTCAATTGACGCATACTTTGTATGTACTATGCATCATATGCTGTATTCTTACACAAAAATAAGCTAGAGAAAAGAAAATGTTAAGCAAGAAAAAATACATTTCTAGTATAGTATTATATTTATATAAAAAAAAATCCGCGTTTAAGTGGACCTGTGCAGTTCAAACACATGTTGTTCAAGGGTATACATTTTACATATCTGCACATTTACATAGTTGATTCTTGTTATTTGCAGTAGCTATGTTCTACAAAGTTAACTTGTAAATACAGCATTACTCAAAACTGAACCACTGCTCCTAGAGAAAATAGACAGTTAGTGTCCTGTGAGCCTCTGGTCACATTTTCACTAACCGATCAATACATAACCTTGTTTCATGTGTGTTTCTGTGTAAGGACACTTATTTAACATATACTGTTCATTAATTAACATGGAACTCATGGACAACAATGCCTTAAGTCATTCCCAAATAAAGCTTATATGTATTTTCTAAGACACATCACAGCCTTCTTACATGTAGAAATACTCGGTAGCACTTAAGCACTATGTTGGGGGCCATTTTACACAGCAAACTCACCAACAAAAAATGTGAAAAATATTGCACTAAATGCACCACAAAAAGAATGGTGGAATAGCATGAAAGCTGAAACAAGATGGCAAAGCAGCTCTTTGTTAACCTCAGTTAGGAACACAGACAGGGTGACAAATTTTTCATCATTCAGCATGTGTGCATGTCTGAATGACCATGACAGTGCTATGAGTGGTGACTTTGCAGTTACAAGTAATTCTTAACAGGAAGGCAAATCTGAAGATCAGAATTTGTAAATAATGAGGATCAATTGTATAGCCACAGGATTACACTTTAGAAGATCTTCTGGATCAAAGGCCCTGGGCATTTATAATAGATGTTGTCAAGCTCATCTCCAAAGAAGTCATAGAGTTTATGTTGTACAAACAATAAAAAGGTATTATGCTCTTTATTTCAAGCAATGTAAAGAGAAGTAAAATTTAGGGGTTCAGTCAGTTGAGTGTCTGACTTGGATTTGGCTCAGTGTGTGCATGTACTCTCTTTCTCTCTCTCAAAATAAATAAATAAAATCTTTTTAAAAAATTTAAAAAAGAAGTAAAATTTAAATGACTCAGAAAGGAATAAAACAAGGTTGCCTAGAAGAAGGTTAAAACTATGGCAATATTAAGGCTTTTTACTTATATGTGGATTTCATTTAATAAATGTACTATCTAGGCAATTAACAGATTTGAACTAAATATATGCATTAACTTGTCACAGTAAAACACTGGGATTAAAAAAACTTAGACTTCAAACTTCTCTCTCTCCCCCTCTTTTTGAATGGCAGAACACAATAAAAGCTCACATATGAGATTTAAGACAACAGCCAACTTCCAGGAAATGTCCTGGGCTTAGTTCACAATGTCCTGTTCTTTTTATATCTTTGCCTATAGCAGTGGTTCCAAACGCTGGAGAGATTGTTAAAAAAATAACAGGATTGGGGCGCCTGGGTGGCTTAGTTGTTAAGCGCCTGCCTTCGGCTCAGGTCATGATCCCAGGGTCCTCGGATCGAGCCCCGCATCAGGCTCCCTGCTTGGCGGGAGGCCTGATTCTCCCTCTCACACTCCCCCTGCTTGTGTTCCCTCTCTCGCTGTGTCTCTCTGTCAAATAAATAAATAAAATCTTTAAGAAAATAATACCTCATAAAAAAAAAAAAAAACCAACAGGATTTTCCTGTCTCAGACCCACTGAATCAGAATCTCTGGGGAAGAGCCAACAAATCTTTATTTAAAAAAAAAACTCATAGATGATGTTTGGGAACAAATAATCAAGATCATTTAGGGTCAGAAAATAACATTTAAGCACTGCAAGATGTTCTGTTCAATCATGTTCAGTATATTACACTTAGGTATTAATGAAGGTACTCATATATATTATGAGGGTACATAATACCTATCAAAATATAAAAAACAAAATAAACAAGAATTTTCTGCCTTCTATTAATCAAAAAATTAAACAAAAGTCTTTATACTACAAAAATTAGGGATATAAAGTACTTACAAATAATTTGATGATACATATTACAATTGCCTTTCCTAATTTATAACTTTGAGGATTAGCTTACCTGTAAAAATAAGAGCACCCTCGGACAGTGTTGTGGGTATAGTGCTCCAAGGTCTTTTCATTACCATAATCCTCTGAAGGATCAGACCAAAGCAGGTCACACACTGGCCCAAAGGCTGGAGGTTCTTTAAACCTGTCTAACTAGAAAACACACAAAAGCCAAAAGAAGAAAAATCATGAAGGCAAAAGGAACTTTTGGAAACTGGTATGGGTCAAAAACAAAACAAAACAAAACCCTCCCACCAACAAGAATGTATTAGGAGAAAAAGCAGCAAGCCCCATAAAGAATTTTTCCTTTAGGAAGAAAATGAGTATTTAACAAATTTGGATACACAATTTTTATTATTTTTTTGAAATAAATTTGTATAAATATCCCTGTCATCTAACCATACTGTAGAAAAGGACTGCTTTACATCCTAGTTTTTTGGGTTTTTTTTTTAAGATTTTATTTATTTGACAGAGAGAGACACAGCGAGAGAGGGAACACAAGCAGGGGGAGTGGGAGAGGGAGAAGCAGGCTTCCAGCAGAGCAGGGAGCCCGATGCGGGGCTGGATCCCAGGACTCTGGGATCATGACCTGAGCCAAAGGCAGATGCTTAACGACTGAGCCACCCAGGCGCCCCTACATCCTAGTCTTAAAAGCAGTACTCATCTAATTCAAATGTGAAATCAACCACTATGGAGATATACTATTATTGAGAAAGACTATGTAAAGTTCATTTCAACTGCCTAGGTGAGCTAACATTACCATCAGGGCAGGAAAGGTTTTACAATTGTTCTGTTCATTGTCTACCTCATTCCAATGGAGATTTCTAGTTTTATTTTGTAAAGGACTTTCATCCTTTCCATTCTATATGCAGGCATTTCAATGTAAGTTATTAATTTAAGCCTTGAGTCATTGCTGCTTTGGTTAGTAGCATAAAAACCAAGGCAAAACCAGTAACTAAGATAGCTGAGGACTTCTATTAAGTGAAAGGGGAGGTTTTTAATACAAGTGATTCAGAATTGCAAAATTCAAGACTTAACAATGTAAAAGAGAAATTCTGGTTATTTTAAAGACCATAAGGCAGCAGAAATGTAGGCATACCCTCTTACCCTGAGGAGAGTAACTTTAATTCAGAGAAAAGTTTTATAAACAGAAAAATCTTTAATTTCAGTATCTACATGAGACAAGTAGAATACAAAGGTAGAGAGGGCGCCTGGGTGGCTCAGTTGGTTAAGCGACTGCCTTCGGCTCAGGTCATGATCC